CGAAATTCTTCACAACGTATCAAATTGGCACTGGAATGACAGTGCAGCGTACTGAATAGCCTGTATTAATTGTGCAACAAATCGGTCTGAATGAAATTAAATTTATCATGTACAATACAATTGTAATGATACAATATACCCAAAGTGGTGAAGGGTATCATATAGTCGGCCCAGTCCGACTTTACTACTTTCCTTACTGGTTTATTTTATATTAATATACTTAATTGATTTGTTTGGGAGTTGGATTTGTCCACATATAACTGTCCCCCTTTTGGTCATCATATAACACTGTCATCTAAATAGCAGTATTTTTGACACATGTTCCACCCTACCATAAGTTGGTCGACCTTTTTTCCATTTTGCTAAAAGTTAAGTGTTTTAAGTGCAGCACACAATTATGATAATTATCCATGTATAAAGTGATTTTTCTTCATGTACAGCCCAGCCAGCATTTGGACGATCGTTTTTGAAAAAAATCAACTTGCTGAGTTTTTTAGCCCAGATAACGCCATAGATTTGTTCTTCAAAATTCTAAATTTAATATTAAAACTTAAATATTTAATTAAGAAATAACTATTTTTGAATAAAATTTAATTTTAGCATGAAACTAGGATAGAATGCAACAAGATACAACAAATTTGCAAAGATAACGGTTGTTTTCTTACGGTGGTATAGTCACTTTTAGTGTTCTTTGAAAAAGATGGTGGCACCAAATGAGTTAAGACATATATATATATATATATATATATGATATAAAAATAATTGACTGTACTGCTGGAAGGGGACATGCTCAAAAAGTACATTAACGAATTCAGAAACAACCCCATACTGTTTACACACGGTTAAGTTGAAAAGAAGGGTGGTTTACTACCACCACATGTCCAATATTAGGACATACACTTAAGCCTGTAAGTGACCTGTTGTGCGCTCTAGAAAAGGCAGAATGCTAGAATGTCATCATGGATTTTATTATCCTAATCGTCTAGGAATTCTGTTTTGTTAGTGACTCGGTTCCCATATGTTTCGAACATAAGAACATCTCGCGAGAAGTTATTTATGTTTTTATACATTCTAATACAGCTTTGGATTTAACTGTTTTAGAGGTTATAGTTTTTATCGTTTGTTTACTATCTGTCATTATATTTATTATATTCTGACCAAAGTATCCACTAAGCCAGTTCAGGCACTCCGTTATAGCCTGAACCTCCACATGTAAGATCGTATTGCGATATGGTTGACAAAGTGAGATTTTGGTATTCAGAACTTCAATGAATAATGCCATTCCCGAATTGCCAGCTAGTTTTTAAATTATTAATTATTCAAAATATTGAGTATTTCACAGAAGTTTGATTTTTTCAACAATCTTGGAAACGGAATAAAAAAATTTCTACATAAAACTATTTCCTTTAAAATTGTTACTTTTTTTGAAAGGAAGAATATTAAATACTCCTGAAAATGTGTCTCAATCTAACAACAAAATATACAACAGCTATCACCGCACGTTGCTGCTAGCACCACAAGATCAGTGAAATTGTGGAGTGGAGAAGTATTATAATCGGTGTGAACCAGATGCGTTGCAATGTTCACCGATAGGGTTACAACCAGAGATGGTCGTAAGAAACTGTGACGTAAATGCCGTACATTTCCGACGTATAATACTTACGTCAGAATCCCACCCAAACCATTAGGTTTTTGACAAAATAGCTATTTATTAATTATTGTAACATTGTGACCGGACCAGTAAATTGTGGGCATTGGTTATGTCTCTCCCGATCCTTGAAAGGAAGGCATTGGCGAAATTAATTTCTAATGTTATTGTCCAATACAATATTACCATTTGTGCTTTCTCGCGGCATTTTCCATAGCAATAAACATGTTTTCAATTAGTAGAGATGTACCATAGTGTTTTTCATAAATTATGTCAAATATGTATGTGAAAGTAGTAATATCGGACTGGGCCGACTATATGATACCCTTCACCTACATATGTATCCTAATAGACGTGGTTCTTCGAAGGAACATTGCCATGAAATTGAACGAACTTTAATATGTGTTCTTTATCTATCTATATTTATGTGAACCGACTAAGATCAATCCATACATATGCCATTATACAACCTATGCTAAATTTCATTGGAAGTTGGGTGCTATATCAAGATCTGAACAGATTTTCACGATATAAAAGATAACAGATTGGTTTACCATTTACATAAAATAGGACGAAAATATATATGGGAGCTATATTTAAATCTGCACCGATTTTCACGAAATTTAGCACACAATATCTATATTTGAACTGATTTTTCTCAATTTCAATAGGGTTCGTCCTTGGGCCAAATAAAGTTTGTGTACCAAATTTCATCTAAATCGGATTATAAATGCGACCTGTACTTTGTTTACAATTTAACATCAACAGACGGCCATGCATAAATCGACTTAGAAAGTGATTCTATGCATATTCTAAAATGGAACCATGGGTCTATAAAAATGCCAGATAATTTTTCAGTAATAATGCAATTAACCTGTGAAAAATAAGAGGAAATTTATTTTAGTTGACATGAATTTTGAACCAATTAAATCAATTAACAGGTTTTAATTATCAAAGGACATTTACATGTGTTTTCGTATGCATTATTTTTTGCCCCATCATGTGGTTCAATTAAGCGTGGAAACCAATTAACCGTAGGGGGTCAATTAACCGAAGAATACTGTATATTTATTGGTGTTTTTAGCAGGATGCGACGAACGATTAAAATACGCCCTTTGTCACGAATACTCAGGGCCATCTCTTTTCATTTTAAAAACTAAAAAAACAAATGTTCGCGAATGCTGTTAAAGAGGATAATAACAACGTAATCACACACAGCGAATGATACCCTTCACCACCTTGGGTGTATTCAACAGGACCATTGATACGTCTCGTGTCAACTGTTGCACCGGAGCTATATCTAAATCTGAATCGATTTCAACAAAATTATATGTCAATCGTACAAACTTTGGGTCTTTAGTGCACACTTTACATAAAATCGAAGGAAAATATATATAGGAGCTATATCTAAATCTGATGCGATTTTCACAAAACTTAACACACATCATTCTAGAATCAATTCAGGCCGCTTTGCCAAATTTTGTGGAAATCGAAAGATATATAGGGTCTTTGGCACATAATTTGCATTAAATCGGAGGAGCATATATATGGGAGCTATATCTAAATCTGAACCGATTTTCACGAAACTTAGCACACATCATTTATCGCAATAAATGAGCACAAACGAAAATATAGTATTTTTAATCATTGGCGAGCGAATTTTTGCTCGCCCCGGTTTAAGTTCTACATGTGGAGTGTAATTTAAAATTCTGTATAGGGGAGAGGGGGGCACTTTGAACACTTTTTTCTTTCAAGCTTCATAAATTTTTTTATTTTATAATTTTTGGTTTCTTATAAATTGTATCTAAAGGTACACACAGGGGTGGTCAACTAATTAAAACATTAACTGTGGTAAAATTTTTTTGATCAGCTCTCGATTCGTTTGAAGTATTTTTGAAATTTTTTAATTCAGAACACTTCCATATACTGCACTGTGCTATCACTCGCGTTGCTGGTTGTTTTATCCTCGCTACTTTTTATGGCATCCCCCTCTCCAATCCTTGTATTTACAATCTAGAAGACGACTGTGTTGGATTCGTAATGCTCCTCGTCCCTAGTCTTGATAAGTTTTGTCAATGAAGATCTGTCTAGGCCCATCACAAGTATCTGCACAAGGTCTGCACTAAGAACACAGAATTCCTAGAAGTATAAGAATTCCAATCTTGTGATGCTTTACTTCGAACTCCGCGTAACAGTAGTTTACGATACTAATTGAACCCAACAAATTGATCAATGAATGCCTATTTATTTTTCAATATTTTTCCGATAGATACTTGGAATAGCCAAAATGAGGTTTCTGTAAAAAGGGGATTTCTAAATAACTGTATCTGAGATTATTTATATCTTGCGGAGAAGTACACACGATTGATAATGAGGCACTTGCACTTAATTTTGAATAAAAACGTAAGTTGTTCATCGATTTCTATGACCAATGGCTCATTTTCTACATAGGTTAAGTGGATTTTCGTGAAATTTATAAGACAGGATATCTTTTTCCGTCTTGTGTTTATATGATTTAAAAAAGAAAAACGAAAAAATTAAAGGAATGAATATTATTTTATTTAACTATTATTATTTTTATTTAACAATTATTTTATTTAACAAGTTAGGAAAACTTTTTTGGGAAAATCATAATCCTAGTATATATACCATATACCTTCTGAAACATCGAAGTAACAAAACAGATTTCCAACATGTCGATATTTATCCAGAAGAATTTAAAGATATCAACATGTCGGCAATAAACGATCATATTTAAAACCACAATAATTCCGTAAAACATACTCTTTAAAATTAGAATCGCTCCATGAACAATAGTCGAATATTTCGGTCTTCAAATGAAGTTGCATTCAGAGCAGATCAATACCTGACTAGGTCGTTATCGCTTTATATCCTCTCTCACTCTTCTGAAAATATATTTTTAAGGTCCAAATCTTGGCTATGAATAGATCACACAATAACTGCTTGTTAGTATTTGCAACGTACAACCCCCCAATAGAAGCAATCAAGTTCTTTGTGTTAAGTATTATTTGACACTGATTTTCGAACTTCTTCACTTTACTCATATCAGAGAATTTGTGGGCTGTAACAATGTACATTATTTAATATATGTTGGTAATTAGGAATGGCTTTTTGAGTTAAAATTTATATGTATTAGATGTGTAAAGAGTTATTTTATATTTCGTATATTAAGTTATTTGAAGAGACATAATTTAATTGACAATGATGAATACATATCTGAAAATCTCTATTAGCGTACACTGAATAAAAAAAAACATTAAGCATGAATACAATGTAATCAATAATGACTTACTGAACATTTTTATATCGTTGTTACATTGACTATGCCTAGTGCCGATGGCAATTTTGAGGTTACACTTGCAACGAAGGCAACTATTTACTCTGAAGGACTGGTTGAATGGAAACCACCAGCTATTTACAAATCATCCTGTGAAATAGACGTAGAATATTTTCCATTTGATGAACAGACATGCGTTTTGAAATTTGGAAGTTGGACTTATGATGGTTTCAAGGTAGGTTTTATTTTATTAATCTTTTTACCAAAGAATTACTAAATTGTAAACTGTAAATAAATGTATATATGGCATCATGTTTGAAATGAACACCCTGTAATTGTTACACTATTCGAATTGTTTCATACATGCAGTTGAAATCGCTTATAACTTATAACTACTGCCAAGTTATCGACAAAAGTGGTCTCTATAAACTGTTGTCGTTATAATAATGGGCAGAACGTTTTTCGGGTCTTTTAATTGCCGTCGTTATAAAGGATTTCGACTGTGTATTAACTGAACACATGTATATACAGTAGGCGTCACTATACTCGAACAAATGTTAAACTCCAATAAATGTTTAATTCACTCAAAGAGCATTTATATGTTGTTGATTGTTAACCTTTATATTAAAATACAAGAGAATTGTTATTGGGGCTAATATTTTGAATTTAGCTCTTATCATACATATCACTCGCAAAATGTAACATGTAAAGAATGTGACATTCGGCTATTTATAAAAATATACGATCATCGTAATATACGTACCCAAACATGAGCAATGTGTATTGAAAATGAACAGTCGGGACATTTCGACAATGTATTAGTCTGTTTTCATTTTACTACATTATCGCCAACTACTAATATTTTCCTGCAATCAAATAGTAATGTTTACTTACATACACATAAAAGCGAATTTAATTGCATAAACAACAAAATACCTTATTTGTCATTTATAAATAATTATTGTTTAAACTGTAATAAATCGTATAGTAAACATTTCTGCACTTTAACATACATACACAAACGTCAAACATTTTTTCCTATTTCTCACCATTATTTGACGCTTTTAGCTAAATTTCGAAGGAATTAAAATTTTAAGAATAATTTATTTCCACAGTTTAATTTTGTCCACATCCTTGTGCTTAATAGCCTCATATAGATAATGTCAGTTGGAATTTTTTAATAGATTGGTTATACCAAACTAAGATTACTTATCATTTAACCTTAACTTAACACATTGAAATTTTCGTACGTTTTGCACGATGAATTTAACTTTTCAATGGCATTATGATAGAAGATCTTTATAATTCTGAAATTCACACAGTATGTGTAATCAAAAAAACTATATTGAATTAATAATTGTTTGTAAATATATTGGTAGGTTTGCAGATATTACAAATTTTTAAATAATTCAATTTAGTTTCTACTCAGTGAGAATCCAAAATACTAAGATACCGTCAATTTTGGTTGAAAAATAAAAGTGGACCACAAATTATTATTTTGGTACGAAGTTTTTCTTTTTTTTATTTCATATTGTAATATTCTAAAAGGGGATTTCGATTAATGGCCATATTTTTGAGAGTTTTTTTCAGCATAATCAATTCTGTTGTGTCCATTCTCATTAATATTGTGTGTCTCCAAGTTTTCCAACTATCCTTTTTTCGGTTCACATACATATTTTTCTCATATTGGTGTGGTTTTGATATTATTTCTACAATACGATTTAACCTAATCAGTTTGAACCTATCTTGCCTATAATCTGTTCTTCTTCTATCAGGTATTAAATATATTTTTAAACATTTTACTATATTATTTGATATTGAAATCTATTTAGAACGAATCAGATTATTCCATTACAATTTCATATGTAATTTTAATGTAAGCGACAAATCGCTGTCTCTATAAAATGTAAACAATATAAAAAGGGGAGACTGGGACCATTCGGCATTTTTTAGGGCTTTTTATTTCAGTTAAGTACTGAGGACGATATACAAACTTTATGGCTGATTATTGTCCTTTGATACTTAATTATAAAAACTAGTATCACAAATATCGAATACATTTGTATTATTTAAAAAAATTTAAAGTTTTGTAAAAAAGTCAAATTCGCCGAATGTGCCCCTACCTGGGGTAGCTTCGGCATTTGATGGGTCACATTTGGCACTATAGTCGTAGCGTGGTAATTATCATCGCTATTAGTCTGGTTGAAATTCAGATCCTCTATAGGTTCTATATTATTTTAATATCCGACTCAATGTTTGACTTTTAAGGCACCATCAAAAATAGTTTTTTTTTCCTATCTCATTTTCCTCAATACAAGAACGTTTGATCTTGTATATGTATGGTCTATCCCGAATCCAGTTTATATAGTGTAATATACATTATAATTAACGGCTTTTTAATAAGGCTGCATTAAAATGTGAGAAGTTTTATACACGAAATACTTACGAATTGAATGTGCCCCGATGCCGAAGGTGCTCCATCTCCTCTACATACATTAAAAAGTATCAAAAGCCAAACTCAAAAAATTGTCCTTTACAACATTTTGGCGGTAATGGCTCAATATGATTCTTAAGAATGTTTTTAAGTCATTAGTAACTTCTGAATGATAAATGCGTGTAAATTGTTTGAAGGATAATAAATTTGTTACGGTTCCAATCTAGTTTTATTAGGGTATATATTTTAGCATACATTTTCATCATCTGCATTGGTAAATATATACCAATTGCACCGGTATCTAATGCTTCGCATTATCAAGAAAATGTATGTTTTGAAGAATTAGAAGATATCGAAAACTTATTTTTTTAAGTACTGTAATTATTAATAAAAATAATTAAATCGAACATGTATCTAATGAACACTTATGTATGCACCATATATATACAAATGTTTTTATAAACACTACCATTACATATATCGGTGTATTTATAAGTCTTAAAAATCGTGAAAATGCCTATAAGCAATAATTACTTTGTAACGTTACCACCCCATTATAGTAATTTGTGGGTAATAGCCAATAGGTGCCACTCCAATGTAGGAGAATTTACGATTTACGTTTATGGTTTAATTTTTCAGATGATAAAATAATGGTCCCGTCCCATTTTAGTTATTTTGATAGCACAAGGCGCATGTTCTATCCGAAGTGGCAGTACGATTTCTTGGTGCGTAAAAACTTACTCGCAGAATATTTGAAGTCCTAGCTGAATTGTCCATAATAAATGTCTGTTGTTGGACCATGTGTACAATAATTTTAATAATTTTATCAAATCATTACTTTCTAATGAAATTCCATTATGTTATCGAAATAGATTATATTCAGTGCATGTAAAGAAATCCAAAATATATTTTTCCCCGTCGTATTGCATAGTCTTGTAATTTTGCTACCCCAAACACTTTTAAAATTTTGGCTCATTACGACACGTAACTACACAACTAAAAGGCTTATTTGCATTAAAATCTGGTCATTAAAGAAATTGTTATTGTTGCTGTATTTGCTCGTCCATTGAATAGAGCATATGGCACGTTAAAGTTTTATATTTGTGGGAATTGATTCAAATTTTGATGTAGCTACCATAAATTATGTCCATCATCCTTTTTGCACAATCCATACTGGATTTGAAAAACATTCGTATTCGGTACTTACGAATCAATGAAAACATGGAAAATAAAAAAGTTGCCGGATTAGATAACACGATTATTATTAAGTCTATGTACAATTCATCGGCAATATTGTCTGGTCACATATTTGGCCTTCCAATGTCTATTGATAATTACAATTAATAGTTGACTCTTTACTTTACCATTGAAATTAGTCGCAACATTTTTACGTAGAACCTGTTTTCAAACTGTAATTTTATTACCTTATAATTTTTGCAGTGCTGATGGCCATTACGAAGTCACACTGATGACTAAAGCGACAGTACATAATAGTGGATTGGTGATGTGGCAACCACCCGCAGTCTATAAATCATCTTGTTCAATTGATGTAGAATATTTCCCTTACGACGTGCAAACTTGCATCTTAAAACTAGGAAGTTGGACCTACGATGGTTTTAAGGTGCTAATATATGAATATAATGTGTTTTAGTTTATATATAATATATGCGAATGTATGTACGTACGTTTATTCCGTATTTTAATTAAATGACTGTACTGGAATGTATTTAGAAGATGCTAGAATATCTGTATATGCAAATATTTTGTAGATGTTTAGCGGTGATTTAAAGGAAATGTTGGCAACTTTAAGTACATTGTTATGCTTAGAACAAGTCCCGGTAATGTGGTATGGGCGGGTAACGCGGTACAGTTGGTTTTGTCTTAAACTAAGAGCATAGCAATACCCGATATCAAGCTCAAATGTATTTGTGTTTTAATTTTATTTACAAACAAATAGTTGCAAAATTGAAGTTGATTTCATGGTTGAAATTTTTTGGTATGCAGTTAATTTTTTTCCAAGAAACGCTTGTTTTTATTAATATTTATGTTATTCATAAGCCAAAGGCAATGAAAGCTTAAAGTTGAAATATATGTTAATTTAGTTTTTTTATATTCAATAATTATTATAATGGTACTACATAATGCCCAAAGCAGGTGAAATTAGAAAATGGACAACGAAGTAAGCTATTGGAACCCCCTCACATAGAAGAGCGAATGTCGTAAGAAAAGCATTGCAGTTCTTTTGTTAAATAAACATGACCGCCATCCAACTTTAACTGCATCAATGGAGAACGAACTAGTAAAACATATACTGGAAATGGAGTCGATATACTATTTTTAATAATAACAATGTTCTAGTAAATATTGAAAACAATTAATCTAGTGTTGTACCATACTATTGCAATAAACATTCTGTAAGTTATAGCCAAAAATAAAATAGATATACCACATTACCCGAACTTACTGCATATTCAATAATAATCTAGAACCAAAGCCTATTTATAAATTCACCCAGGAAGCAAACGTCAGATATTTTTTCTTAACTCTAATTTCAACAATTTGGCGTTGTTTACGTTTTCAAAATGGAAGTCAATTCACAATAATGTACTTTGATAGCAAATAGAGAAGCAGCATCTATTGCCAAAATTAAACGAACATATTTCAGTATATTGCAGTAAAGAAAACAGCTGATCTATAGTAATGTAAGATCTGTTGAACAGCTTTAGTAATATAACATTATCAAGATAGAATGGATTTTTTTCCTGTGTTTACGATATCAGAAGCAATGTTAAGTGCTTTAA